CTTTTATCCCAAAACCCGGGCCCCGGGGCGCGTCAAAAGCCCGCGGGCCCCCCCCCCCCCCCCCAGCCCCTCCCAGCTGAAAATCCTGGCTCCGCCACTATTTCTAGCATGTTCCATTTCAGAGTCACAATCCTTTTTGCGAAACCTCCTGTTTCAGCAAATCAATCTTCGAAGACTTCAGCATAGCTCAAGACAGGCGTTATTCATCATGTTGAATTGAACGATGATGTTTACTTTCAGTTTCAAAGCGACTTGAGGCCATTATTTTTAGTATTTTTGAAATTTAAAAAATCTTGAAAATGGTCTCAGAACACTATAAAATCGAAAACAAGCATCGCTATTCGATGTACCATGATGAATTATCCCCATTTCAAGCTCTTTTGGAGTCTTTCAAAACGAATTTTTGCTGAAACTAGAAGTCTCGAGTGGAACATAATACAAAATTGAAGCTTGTGTAAATCAAAAATGAGAAATTTTTCGTATTATTTGGTTATAATCCAAGTCAAAACCTAAAGTGAAATGGCTTTAGAGTATCTTTTTCAAAATTTCTGCGCAGAACTCATCTGATTGGTTCGTTGTTAATCAATCAAATTTGGCATACGTGGATGTTTGAAGATCTTCTCTCTTGAATGATGAAATCCTCAGATCTCTATGCTATTCCTATTAAAAGTTATTGAAAAAAAAAAGTCAGATCAATTGCTTTTTGAAAATGACATTAGTAGTGAATCAATTATGATTATAACTACAGAAATATTTTCACTAAATGCTTCAACTCATATGTAGAACAACAAATCTTATCGAAATATCATTTTCTAGTACAATACCTTGAATCGTGTCTATTTTTATATCGATATCAAATCTAACCAATTGGCAACTAATAGGATCTTTAATTGGTTTAATATATCTATTAATTCTTCTTGATATTTATTACTTTTACTATCATTATTTCTCATGAGTTATTTCATTTTTCTCTCTACCATTTGCTGTTCTATGTCAATAATAAGAGTGCTACTCTTTGTCGTCGTCGACAACAAAAGGACAAACATAAACTTGAATATCAACCTGTCAACGACAGTACTGTCAATTTATCCAAAATTTCTCGTCCACCACATGTATATTATATATATATATATAGAACATTAATACAAATATAACTAAGAGTTCTAATGTTAACAAAAACTATCAACGAACAAACAGTTTATCATCTATAATAGTAAACATGTTTCAATCTAAGAACATTAACGACTCCATAACTAATAGAAGTTTTGATGAATCATTCTAAAAGAATAGATAAAACTATCATGACGTTCACCTTCTATAACCAACTAAAAATGATTCAAATGTAAATATTAGTCAACTTAAAAAAAAAAAAGATAATTATTCAACAATAAGACAACCATATTAGTTCAAATAGTTTATAGCTCGTATTAAAAAAGAATGTTCATTAAATATTTATAATAAAAATGTTTCATATTTCTTTCTTTTCTATTATTGAGCAGTAATAGGATTTTCTGTATTTGTCGGTGTTATTAAAGCACTTGGATTGATTGAATCAATATGATCATTATGTATATCAAATCGCCATTCAGTCACTGGACATGTAACACCATTGAATGGTTGTTCAAGTGAATATGTTTTATCATCATCATCATGAACTTCTATTCGAGAAACAACTTTTCGACAAGTAAATGTTGCTTCAGGTGTTGGTTGATATTCTCGTTCTGGTATACAAGCTCGACCACCGGCATCTAATGTTACAGAAATTGATTCATTTGTATTATTATTCTTTGTACCAATTGCATAATGAATTGTACATTTCAACGGTTTACTTGTCTTATTTGAAAGTGTTCCAGCATAAACATGACGTGGCGCAGCACACAAAGCTCGCGAAGCAGGCATTGATGTTCTATTATTAAACTATAAATGGATACAAAATATCAGCAGCGATATTCGATATATTCACCACTAAATGCGTATATATACACTGTTCTCCACCCACCTAATACAACGACAAAGATGAATAAGAAAAAAAATAATGTCACCAGTAAAGCTGTTAGTCTACTTGAGGGTAGATGTTGATTTTTTCTTTCTTTCCTATGGCAATAAGAAGAATGTGGACTGCACCACCAGATAAATAACTAATGACAGCATATACAAAAATAGAGTTCTATCTCTCTTTTTTTTCAGTAATAACAACAACAATCAGTGTACACAAATAGTCAACCCTAGAAATCTGTTATTGCTTCATATGAAATAAGCCATTATTTTCTTCACAAATATTTTTTGTAATAGAGATTAAAATACTGAAAAACAAAAACAAAAATTGTCACATATTTCGGAATGTACGTAGGTAAACTGATCAAAACGATGAATTTACAAAAAAACAAAAAAAAATTCAAATTAATAATTATTGCGTCCGTATTTGATAATCACCATTTTGTGTTATATATCGAACCCATGGTAATGCTTGATAGCCACTTTTTTCAATTATTTTTAAATATCGAACCTAAAACAAAAATTACATAGCAAAAAGCGAAAAAAAAAGAATTTTAAAATATTATTTTACCTGAATGCCTGATGTAGTAAAATAAGGAATTTCAAATTTAACTTCAATTGGAGGTTTAGCTTCATGATCTTCACTTTCAACACTGGGCAATTTAAAGTGAGAACGCATTAAAAATTCTTTACCACCCTGTATAGATTAAAAAAAACAACTTAGAAATCAAAAAACAAAACAATGAAAATAAACCGGAAATGATTTAATTGACCAAATCATAGCATTTCTTTCCGGAACATATTTAACAGAACCTATTGTAGCTTTAAATCGTCCTGAATCTGCATCTGATGGAACAGGTATAATAATTTCAACATTATTTGCCGTTGAACGACGTTTAAATTGAGATTTAGCTTTAACCATATATTCAACACGTGAATGAGCATGTTTTTCAATAACAGATTCAATCCAAATTAATGGTTTAACCTAAAAATGAAAAATGAATACAAAAAAAAAAAAAGAATTTTTCGATTTAGAAAATTCACACTTGTGTATTAAGTCGATAAGACATTAATTCAAATTCTCCATCCGGTGGAACAAATGATATAGTTCGATCATTTTCAAAACGAGATAAACGAACACATTGATGAAATCTAACATCTTCTAATTCAACACCTTTATTCTTTGTACCTAAATATTTACAAAACAGATTTTTTTTTTATTTATTTAAGAACTAAATCAAACAACATACGTCCAGTAGTTTCAAAAAGAATTTTATCATTTAATCCAAGACGTAATTCAGGCATGCCACTAAGATATACGCGCATTTTAATTACTCCATGGATTTCTGAACGAAGAACATTACCATTGGAACTAACCTATGTACAGAAAATACGAGGATTAGTTTCCAAATGAAATACGAAAAATAAAGATTTGTACCAAAAGATTAACCGATTCGATTACATCAAGAAATACTTCATTCTTTCGATATTTTAATCCATCTGATCGCCAGCTAACTTGATGTGTTAATGCTGGTGGTGGACGAACTTCTTCAAGTTTATGACCTTCTTGTGTTATATATTCTTGAAGAATTTTAGAATCAGTCGATTGAGGAAAACCAAAATCCATTAATTCATCAAGTAATTCATAAACAATAACAAAATTATCTCGAATGGATTCTTCTTCAAGTTCTTTAAAATATTCACAGAATACACGAACACATTTATAAAGAAATGATAAAACCATTGCAATATTTGCATTTATTTTTGTTGTACATACAACTAAATTCATAGTAAAAAAAAAATGTCAAGAAAAGATAATCAAAGCAAAAAAGAAATATTTACGATAAACATTATTATATTTTATATAAACAAAAGCAACATCACCATGTTGAAATATTGGTGATAATTGAGATTCATCTTCATTTTCTAATAATAATTGCATAAATTTTTCAATAACATTCATTTCAATATCACCACGATAATTTCGAGATAGAAGGACCTGAAAAAAAAAATGAATTGATTAATACTGATCGAAATTGTTTAAACTTACCTTGCCCTTCATATCCAAGATATAAATGGCTGATGCTGACATTCTTTATAAATTTCTTATTTGATTCAAAATGGGAACAAGTTACGTATAAAAAAAGAAGAGATAAGATAGAAAATTTTATGTTTAAAGATTTTTTTTTTTGGTATTAACACGTCGCCCCACAGTCAATTAATGATGACAACCATTCTTAGTCACTGATAATTTTCTTCATCTTAACACGACAATAAAAGCGACAGATGGCAGACATAATCGACATTTGGATTTCTTACTGATTCCAGATCGATCATTCCGGATGTTCGTAACGGCGTCGTAAACGATATAAAACGGCGCTATTACGGGCCGTAATCCGTCAGCCCGTTTTATGACCCACTGTTTAGTGCAGTAAACGATCATCGTTTTTACAAGAAGCGGCCATCGTTTTTCACCGTATTTTAGCCATAAATGAGATGACAAGAATAATGCAAGAAGCAATATTGTATAATATTGCATTATATTGTATGGAGACCTTTTTTCGGCATACCGTTTTACGGCTAAAATACGGTGAAAAACGATGGCCGCTTCTTGTAAAAGCGATGATCGTTTACTGCACTAAACGGTGGGTCATAAAACGGACTGACGGATTACGGCCCGTAATAACGCCGTTTACGACGCCGTTCTCTTTGACTTGGGATAGAGTTAACAGCACTAGAGTTCATTCATGTGGCTTTTCAGTTTTATCTTTACCTTAATGTCTGCTCAAACTTTTGATATAATATTTACAAATCTATGCATCACATTATTGTGTAGTTTAGACAACGTAAATGAACACTTGATTGTTTGACAATTAAAATATTGCAATAGTTTTGAAGAAATATCGTGTAAATCTGCGATTAAATCACGGCATTCTCAATTATTGTTTATCAGAAATAATTACTAGGTACTTACGAGAGAACATTCGAGGCACTTTTGAATCGGGACTTTGCGCATCTTGTAGACCTTAAATAAATTGTGTCTACTATAAAAATAGATCGTGCGCATAGCTTTTCTTTGAGAAGATTGAACATTTTTACTGCTATAGCCATATGAATTATCGTATCAAAAGAAAATCAATACAAGTTCAAACAAGTCTCGGTTTCCCTCATGTATAATAGTATTCATGTGGTAGATAATATGACCGTATGAGCAAAAAAAGAGCTTGTAAAAGTAGCGCTATTGATTTTAGAAAATTTTAACGTTGCTCTAAACTTTTTAACAAGAACATCAGTTTCGTCGTCGCCTGTGTTGTTGAAGTTCGGGTCTAAGAGCGCATCTTCCTGCTGCATACGTTTCTATCTGAGAAAGGATATTTCGAGAAATGCTTTTAATGAAGAAATGAGTTGTCAATAAATTGTTCTATCAGTTTTTTCTACTGAATTTGTCAACTCAGAACTGATACACCGCAAAAATGGCGGAAAATAAATGTTGTCTACATCGAGCCCAGACATAAACAGGCACAGAAGTGGCAAAAAAATATGAGTCGAGTGTAGAAATTATTGAACAGTTTCATCCATGATACTAGGTGCTTTAATCTGCATTTTTCTTTCTCCATCTTACGGAAGATTCTTCATCATAGGACAAAGAGTTGTCTACTAAAGCGAGTTTCTCCAAAATGTCTAGATTCAGTTTGAAACAACTTTTAACTCACTAAAACAGTCTTTTATAATCAATACTGCAATCATCAAACTGTTCTATATGCACGGAGATTTTCCTTGAGATGATATTCTATATAAACTACATCAACTTCCCATACAAACAGCTATCATAGTTTATTGTAAGGCCCATAAAAATATTTCGAACAAGTAAATATAAGCAGCTTTTGTGGTATTGGTCAAGTACTTCAACTTTCTAAATAATTTTCTTTTGCTACTTGACAATGTGAAACAGAAATAATTTTTTTTCTAGTATTTATACAAAAGAAAAACAGCATTTTAAATTTAGAAAAGAGACTTGAGAGACGAGATTATGCCCAAAGTCAAATGTTTTGGTAAGTTAACATGGCAGACCCAAACCTAAACACGAAATTAATACGGAAAACCCATACTCAAACGAAATCAACTTCAAATATATCCCTTACTCCAGTCAACACTCAATGTTCAAATCCTAGCTTTAACTGAAGCTCAATAAACCACACACAAACAAAAACTCATTACACTAAGTGTAGATCCCAATCGAATCCGAACTAATAACAATAAATCCAAACACAACACCTAAACCAAGACCAGTTCCAAGCCTAAGCTCAAACTCATCAGAGCAAATCGAAACCCGACTAAAAACTTCAATTCATCATAAAAAAATAGAAACCGAAAATCAATATCCAAACCCAAACGCAAGTTCAAACACAAACACAATGACAATACGCAAACCGAGCCTAATCAGAGTCCCAAACGAAAACTTAAAGCCAAAGCAAAATTCGAAACCTAAACCAAGTCAAAAATCCAAACTCATTAAACAAACAGAGTACTCAAACCTGAATTCATTACAACAAATCCAAACTGAAACTAAAAATATTTCGGCTTGGCGCATATGTAGTCACAGGAGAGAAAAAGTGACTTGATATTGCGCGTATCGATCATTTTTGTAAACATGTTCAAACAAGCAGACTTATGGTATTGTGTGGCGACCATCCATTTCTCATTTTTCTTCGTTATGCCTTCACCATACTCATCAGGTATGGACGAAATGTATCATTAGGGAGCCTATTATCTTTTCTCTTTTTTCTACGCGAGGGAGAACGATTGTATTGCATAAGCACTACTAGTGTGATATTGCCACTCGTTCTTACTCTGATGTTGTTGTAGAAGAGAAAATGATAATTGTTATTGCACGTATAATTAGTTTATCTAAGATATGAAAACAAGTGTCTCCTTGTATTGCATGACGATCACTTGTTTATCATTATTCTTCATTGCACATTTATGATACTCATTAAGTAGCAACAAAATACATAATTAGGAAGCCTTAAATTATTTCTTTTTCTGCTAAGGAAGAGTGAACGACTGAATAGCTTAAGAATTATTTATATGATATTGTTTCTCGTTCGTGGTCCCAAATCATCCAAAAGTTGAAAAAGATACTCGCTTTTGCAGATATCATTAATTTGTCGACAGTATCAAGGTGTGGAATACTACTGGATGAATGAAAAGGAAAAATTCGTCGACTTGCAGGTGGCTTTCGCTAAACGATGTAGCCTAGAGGTGGATTGTTTAGCTTGATGTTACAGAACAAGTATTAGTAGTGATAATTCTATTCAAAGCCTAGGCCTTGCGTAAATTTCCTGCCTTTAATCGCTTCAGTTTCTTCTATACACTAACTAGGTAATACTAGTGACTTGTGCAAATGCATGCCACGATTCAGGCAGCATGAGTATCCGACAACTGACCTGCGGCAATTAGTGACTTGTCTAAGGATATTCCACAGCCATTGGCACCGAGGCTGCAATACACTACCTATCATATACTGGTCGAATAATCTAGCCACTCCACAATGACAAATGCGGAGAGTGACTGTATTCCCTGTCAGCCATTTGTTTCTTAATTTTCTTAGTTATGCCTTTTACGAATCGATTAAACACAAAATGATACCACATATTCAGCCAATTATCTTGCTTTTTGTCTTCGAAAAATGGAAAGCGTTGTCCTGCCAATAATAAACAAATCGGTGCATCCTAAATCTACGGCATATGCTTTGGTTTATTTTTCCTACATGAGCTTATAATGAATTTCTATTCAGACGAGTAACAGATTTCATCGAAGTTCAATATTCCTCCGAATGGTTTTAACTCGTTTTTTTCTTACATTTCCTTTGTCTCATTATAGATTATAATAAACATACTTTTCTCGTCGTTCCTGCACAAAAAAATAGTCACAGACGTGAAAGATCAATATGCACATTATTCTCATCAATGACACCCGGGTAAGTTCCTTGTACTTTTCTTTTGTGCCATAGGTTAGAACAAGTTTCTGAATGATTGTGGTACCATGGATGAAACCATGTTTCACAGTTGAACGGTGATTATTTTGATGAAAAAATTGTAATATTTCTGTGATGGACTGTAGAAATAGTGTTGTCGGCAATCTCTAGAACCATGTTTTTAAGAGAAAGAGATAGGAATAAGATTAGTGCTCGATTACACGTCACACAGATTGAACACGAAGAAAAAGGCAATGATTAATCATTGCTAAATCCGCGGACTTAGAGTGGAGCTCTCCTAAGCGGTGAAAAGTTTCATCAATCAATACAAAAAGTCATGAGTCTGACTCAAGCAATGTCGTTACAATATGATGAGCACAACAGAAAATTTCAATTTTTGTCATTCAATTAACAATTCAATTATTCGGACAGCATTGATTTCTGATGAATATTCTATTGTACGAGTTCCACGGGAACACAGACAATATATGTGATAGTGGGAGCGACCATGTTTCGTGAAAATATAGATTCTCTGGTTTCTAAGTAGATACAAAGCTAAGACATACTATGTAAGAACTAAGTATCACATAATAAACTACTTTTATTTTTTTCGACTAACAGCACCAAAAGGTATTGTCTCGAAATTCTGAAAAACAAATCCGGAAGAAAAATCTGGAAAAGATAAAATCGGGAAAAAGATTCAACAGTTTATTTATACATGCGCGCTAAGTTAACGATCAGCGGCGTGTTCAGCGTCATCGCGCGTCTGTCTATACATAATAATAGAAGCGCAGAGCACGCTGAAGTAGAATGATACGCGGTGGACGATGATCATGGTTGACGTAGACAACCATAAACATTTATGAAAGAATATTATCCTTCCTCTTTTGTTCTAAGGATATTGGAGATTTTTTCAGATTTTTGTTTTCCGGTTTTTTTTCATTTTTCGGATTTTTACTTTCCGGATTCCAGGACATATTCCACCAAAAGAAGGAAACACCTAGAGTTTGTTCAGAAAAAAGCTTATCACGAGAAGTTAAATAAAAAGAAATAAAGTTTTATAAAAAGAATGATATTTCTTAAAAAAAACAACATGCATGAACAATCAAAAAACC